TTCATGTTCTTTTATACTTGTTATCTCTCCCTCTCTAAATAATTCTTTGAATCCCAGATGGGGCTTATGAAGAAACACCCTTCTATCATTCCATTCATGATATACATCACAAATGAGGACAAGCACATGGAACGATTTGCCGTTCGTGCAAAGTATATGACACTGGACCCAGCAAAGAACAAATATGTGAAATATATCCGAAACATCAGAACAATCCAAGAATATCTCTGCAAGCGAGCTGACAAGCATCTTGTCCCCAAAATTAACAATACTAATGTTGACAAGAGTGTGGCAGCCATCCATGCAACCGTCTTCAGTTGCCTACGTAGGCGTGAAGCAGGGGAGCAACTTTATGATCCCCCAAGAAACACAGTTACTGTAGTGGATGAGGAGTACAGGAACCAGTGTGCAGCCAATTCTTTGAGTTCTAAGGGGATGTTTCAGCTGATCCAGAGGAAAGGTTCAACCAGGCATCTGATGGCTCTTGTAAATACTGATGGATCTGTGGCAAAGGCATGGCCTGTTGATTCAGTTGATAGGAATGGGAAGCCTATATTTTGCCATGGGACTGACTTGGAGATTGGCAGCGCAGAGCAAGTAAATCTTCAGTTTGGTCTCTATGGGATCAGCGCTTGGCCCAGTGATGGTGGCCCGAGTTGTGCTGGAAGTGTGGATGAATCGAGGGCTGATGGAACTGAGATTGGAAGAAGTCATCCCTCTTCTTGCTGCAGCTCGCCACGGATATCTGAGGGGCCTGCCAAAGAGGTACTTTTGAACACCAATTTTAATTGTTCCGTGGGAAAAAACTCTTACCTATCATTTTTTCCTCAACTGTTCAACTTACTGTTTTTCTTCTTCAATTTTTTATTGTTTTCTTTTCCTTCAGCTGAAGGAAGAAAATTCAGTGCATGGAAGTGATGAAGAGGTTGATGAAGAGGCTGATGCAGGCAGTGATGAGGAATTAAGTGATGATGGTGACAAACAGGACTATGAAGAGGTATTAATTGCTTTTGTTTTAGATTATTATTAGTTTACACTGGAAGCTGAAGAGATTAGGACAACTTGAATTTTATCAGCTTTTTGCATCTGATAACTCTGCTTGCCCCAGAAATATTTTAGGGTCATATAAATATTTATACACACACGTGTGTGTGTATATATATATATGTATGTTATAGAGTGGTGATTTCCCCACTCCAATTTTATTCACTTACACTCCATTTTATAACTAAAAAAGAAGTGTAAGTGGATAAAATTGGAGTGGGGAAATCATTACCCATGTTATATACAGATATTATAAATTAAATGAATGATAGACAGCTTAAAATGAGTGGATAATTGGTCTGACCCAGGCTAATAAATTTGTGAACTTTGGATCTTTACACTGTTATAATCCTGGTCACATCAGATGAGAGTCTGAACTCTACTTTTACGTCAATTAATCGTTTACTTAAACTTCATACTATCTTGCAGATAGGGTCAGTGGATGAGGAGTCTACAAAATCGGATGAAGAGTACGATGACCTTGCAATGCAGGACGTGCAGGGAAATGGATACTGGTCAGGGGAGGAGAAGAGAGGGGACAATCCTAAGATTTTCCCTGTTTCCGATGATCAATCAGCCGATAAAGAAGGGGATAAGTATCGCCAGAACCTGGATCTTTTCCTTAGAACTAGAGACCAATCATTTTCTGAACCGTTGTGCTCATACTCATCTTTGTTCTTGGAGAAAAATGAGATGACAATGCCGTGCTCTGGCAATGTGAAAATTAGAAAACGACGTTCCCTTAGCATTCCAGCCTTGGGAAGGCATGGGTCAATAATCAGGGGTCCCATACTTTCTGGAGCCCCTCAGTGCTAGGACAACTATTTTGTTGAAGCTTTAGTGTTCTCATATCCTTGCCTTTTTCTTCCTTATCTATGTTTAGCCTCCTTTTGTAGAGTAATTAGGTAACTTAAAATCTTCCCCATCTGTACAGTAATGCTTTTAGGCAGTTGCAGTGGAATGGATCTAAAATGTATTTTTGTTTGGTACTGTTTTTTGAGCATTGGATGCATCTGTTAGCTTTGTTAGAATGAGAGCATGATTTTAGGGTAGTTTTGAATATGGGGTGCATTCTAACATGATTTAAGAGTTGTATGCTAGCGCTATCTATGGTTGGGTAACCAACCTGCCTTTCATTATTCTTTCTAACAGGGATGGAATCGGTTGTTTTTTCAATCTCTGTTCAAGATGTATTGGCCCACTATTCACCAAGTTGCTGAGGCCAGCAAGGGGAGGAGTTGCATCTGGCTAAGAATGGGCATATAGAGATCCAGCAAACAATAACACACTCCGGCTTCGGTAGCAAAAGTGCTTCTCCACTCTTTCGGTAGAAGATAGGAAGATAGTTTTGGTTTTTATTGCTTCACTTGTTCACGAATCATAAGTGAAGGATTTGTTTTTTTTTCATTTGACCCTATATAACTTGGTTTATGGCCGATGCATTGCTTTCTTTCCTGTAAAAAAGCTGGTTGAATAGTTCCATAACTGGGTGAAAACTGGGGCTTTAGGCTCGTCTCCAATCGAATCCCCAGAAGAAGCTAGATGGAGATCCCTTACTAACTGCAAATATCGTTTTGTTCACACAAAAAAAAAATTGAAAGTACCATACGTCCTTAATTTACTATTTCTTACTCAAATTTCAGAGTACTGCAAGCATCCGAGGGTTGGCCGCAACCCTATAGCAAGTGAACAGTTTGGTAGGGGATGCAACTGTTCCACACATCCTCTGCAAGGGCTTCACTTTCTAAGCAGCTTTCCCCTTATAGAGAAGGGATCATAGGGACTTCTTACTTTTATTAAGTTCATACGTGTATTGTATGTTAGGCTTGCCCTCACTAGGTTAGCACGTATGGTATACTTATTTGAAATGGGAAAAGTCATGAATCGGGAAGTTACGAATAGGGGAGAGGATGAATGGGTATGGGATCAACTACTTCCTCCTAATCGATTTAGTTTTTGGTTTTTCATGTATTGAAATAAGAATTTTAATGTGGAAATGACATAAATTTTATTCTTTTATGTGTTAGTATGAAGTCAAGGATTTGAATCATTTCAATATCCATGCACTAGTTAACACATGGAAAGTCGGGAAGTGAAATAATTCCTATAACAATGATTCATCCCATTAGTTATTCCAGCGTGCTGTTGGATATGCCACTACTAAAAATAGAGAGGGAAATGGGGCTTGGCCGTTTTAGAAGCGTAACAAGCATGAATGTTCTGCATGTATTTCTATTTGAAGTCTCTCAACTCTATCAGCCCTAAAGATCGCTTCAATTTCGTCCAAAAAAAAAAAAGATCGCTTCAAAGTGCCATATCTTATTTGAGGTGATATGGCCGTTTTAGGCAATCTACTTTATACTTTTCTTTCCTTTCAAAACCCTTCTTTCTTTTGGTACTGGGAAATCTTACAAGATTATAGGCTAAGGTGTGCATGATGCTCCCAAAGATTCTCTCTAAAGGGCAAATTAGAGGAGGAAATTGCAGTCTCAGGCTGGACATGGTGAAAGCCTATGACCTTTCATAGTGGGATTTTTTTAATTTTAATAATGTAATTTTATGTTGTTTTATATAAATATATTAGACTTGGTTGTTGTGAGTGCTTTGTGAGGAAAAAAAAAACTTGTGCTACAACATTACTTCAAATAGGACACTGTAAAAATAAACCATACCTTCCTGTATGCTGCTTGATAGGCTTTGGTGCAATCCTTTTTCTGTTCTGCTTTGGTAACCACAAGACAGTCTCTCTTTGAAAAACTATGCAGATTGGTGTAGATTTACAGCATTTTGCGAGCCCAATTCCCTCTTGTTTGTATACTTCAATCTTCAGTTGAGGCCAATTTGAAGAAAGAAATTGGAGAGATATGTAGATAGTTGAAGCAACCATGAAACCTTGGTTGGGAAGGGAGTACATTACCTTTCAAGTTTGACAGGAGACGATCCTTGGAATATTCGCTCTATCTTTACTCTACTTGTCCTTCATTTGGCATAGCTTTAAATACAAGACAAACCAAATTTATCACTCTATTTATATATTCAGCCTCAAATTCCAGTATATCCCTGTGAGATATGGGCTTGGTTTATTTATTTATTTCTAATTTTTTTTTAATACAAGCGATACTAAAAGAGAAGAGATTTGAATTGCTCTGAACTACTTGAGTTATAAGCACTCTGTAATATCGGCTGAGTTATATATTTTGTTTGTCGATATTTGTTTTATATCACTTCAGCTACAAGTACCTTACTCTTAAAAAAAATAAAATAAATAAATAAATAAAAAGAAATTTTCCAAGTAATTGTAAACAATTCCTACACAAATCGAGACAAAATTTGCTAGGGGTTAACTTCCAAGGTTTGGAAGTGTAAAATGATACGGATACCTTCAGGTTGACTTACCAAGCATAAAAACCCAAATTACCTTAGTGGGTTATTCGTTTTATTAGTCCCTAAATTTAGACCAGATTTGTATTTGAGTACCTCAATTTCTAAAATCGTTCATGTAGTCCTGCAACTTCAGTTTCGTTAGGACAAATGGTCATACTGTCAATTTTGTTGACTTTTCTGTTAAATGCAGGGGTAAAATGTATTTATATATTTTAAATTTTAAATTGATTAAAATATTTATAAAAAAAATTCAAGTTTTTAGGAACAAGAACTAATTTTTAATTTTTAGTTTGACTAAGGATAGGAATAAGATTTTTTAATTTTTAGTTTCTAATTTTTTATTTTAATTTTTGGGTGAAAGGAATATTCAAAAATTCGAAATTAAAAATAATACAAAAATACCATTTTACCCCTGCATTTAACAGAAAAAGTTAACAAAATTGACGGCAGGACCAATTGTCCTAACAAAACTAAAGTTGAAGGACCACATGAATGATTTTGAAAATTGAGGGATTCAAATACAAATCGGGTCAAAGTTCAAGGACTAATAAAACGAATAACCCTAGATACAAGCCGAATGGTGTTGCATTTGAGCCAAAGACAGTAAAATGCCAACCACTGCTTTAGTGCACAATTCTAATTCTTTAAGGTCCGTTTGGTTCATGGGAAAGAAGGCTTGGGGATGAGAAATCAATTGCTTTCCCATATTTGGTAAGTACATGCATGAGAAATGGTTGTCTGACACATGAGAAAGTAGAGGGGAAAGTGAAGCCCTCCTTTCAACTTGAGTTTTGTTTTCCCTCCTCATGAAAAAGTTTGGGAAAATGAGCCAACATTAAATGCACATTTTTCATGACCATTTTGTCTCCATTAAAAATTTAGTATTACAATATATCATTAAATGCATTCTTTTTTTATTTGATTTAATATAAGTATAATTGAAAAATTATACAAACTATGCTTTTCATTCCTACTCAAAACAAACATGGGAAATGAAATAAAATGATATCTTCCGGTTACTTTCCCAGCATACCAAACGTGAGAAATGAATATTCTATTTTCCATCCATTGAGAAATGACATGGGAAGTAATTTCCACTCAAATTCATTCTGTGAACCAAACGGGACCTAAAGGTCATAGGATTGACTACGAGAGCTAGCTTTTGCGTACCTTTTACCGAAGGAAATGGTGAAATAGGTTTCGGTTTTCGGAGGCTGCATGAAAGTTTGAACTTTGGGAGAGAATTTCTAAAGCCTCCCACAACCTCCATTTATAGTGGCAATGTGAGTTGGAGGGATAGAGTTCATACCCAATTCAAATTAAGAGTCAGGATGTATAAGTCAGACTAGGGTTGATCGACATAGCATGAGGGAAGCAGCACAGAACTACTACAACATATCATACAAGAAGGAAATTTGGGATAGTCAAAATTCCTTTCTTAAGACAAAAGGTTCACTTCATCTTTTATGTGGCAATCATTAACAAAACAAGTGAAAATGAAACAAACTTGGCAAAAATAAAAGTGCAAATGGAAATGGAGAAACCATTTACCATAAACCAGATATAGCTCACTACAGTCGTTCAGGGGGAAAAGAGAGCCTAAACTGGCAGAACGAACTGATGAATTGCAAAAGTTGATCGGTTTAATTGAATACAAAAATTCAAGTTCATCTTTCTGATTTAATATTACAACACTTCCAAAGAATGTATAACTTTAGAAGAAATCCTTTCATTGGTGATAGTATAGTGTTCAGATCAAATCCTAAAGGTGTACAATCCTTCAACAGAAAAAATCGTAAATTTCCCCAAGAAAATTTGTAAACCCCCATGAACTATACCATGAACTAAATGGCAGACCACAGTTCACTGCTCATCATTCAATTTGAGTTCGAATCACTTTCTTTCCAGCCATCCAGACTTTGTAACCCAATAAAACAGCCAAGGACAGGGGACATATTCATTGCAGCTTTAATTTTACAGTGGGCCATTTTATGGGTAAATTAACTTGTTCTCCCATATATTGCCGAATCGAAATTGCAGCTGCTAACTATGATCACACAGAAGAAGTTACTCTTAAGAACTCTTCTTCTTTGGAGCTGTAACAAGCAGAAATGATTACCACAATTAGAATAAAAGCCGCAAAAAAAGAATGTCTCTCACAGATATTGAAATCACGGTCTGGATCAAGCATGATCCTTAATCCTCACCCCTCACTGAGCTTCTGAGCTTCATTCTCCCATTTTCCACCCCCTAGCCCCCTGTCATCTCATCTCTTCCTTGAATGATAGCTTTCCCCAATTTTCTTCATATATTGGCAAAGTAGAGAAGCTCCCTATTTTAAGTTGTTGCACCTGTCTAATTAATTAGGGCCGGCATCCTCATTTGCTTCCTCAGCCTGATTCAATTTAGATAATCCATTTACTGTCTCTTTACACCCAGACAAATCAGCATTAAAAGCTTTTTTCACCATCAATGCCTGCAACTGAAAAGCTTCATCAGCCATCCCTTTGTTGCAAAGACCATCAATCAATATATTCAAGATAACATTGTCCAATTCAATCCCCTTCTTCTGCATCTCATTTAAATATTCCATTGCCAGCCCCATCGCCCCAACCTTGCAAAAACCATTTATTAGAGCCCAGTACGTATCAGCATTCTGGAATGTACTTCTCTCAGCCATCTTACGAAATAAAGAATGAGCACTTTCCATAGACCCCAATCTACAATAGCCATTTATTATCAAATTGTATGAATGAGTGTTCACTTTCAATCCTTTATCATGCATCTCCCCAACCAACCTTTCAGCTTCTTCAACCTTTCCAGAACTCGTGAACCCATCAATCAAGAACTGATACGTCTTGATATCGAATGCCACTCCTTCCTTTTCCATCACAAGCAATATCAGATCCAACTCTGGAAAGTTCCATCTCTTAGCACAAGCATCCACAATTGTGTTGAATGTAATGATATTGGGTTTAGGTCCTATTCTCACCATTTCCTCCACTAACTCTCTACTCCTCCTAATCTCCCCACTCCCACACAGCCCATCTACCACAACTGTCAAAGAATATACTGAGACCTTAGTGCCCGATTCGAGCAATCGATAAAAGAAATCTAAACACTTTTGCACCTCATCTCTCCTGTTGAGAGCAAGCAAATGCACAGTACAAGTCCTCTCATCAATCTGAATCCCATTACTCTTCATAAAATCAAGAGTCTCCAAAACTTGGTTGAAACTTTCACTATCCGAATAAACTTTAATCATCAAATTGAACAATTTCGCTTTGACTCTAGGTTCAAGACAGCAAATTTCAGCAGCAGAAGCAATAACAGAAAAAGGGTACCTGGAATTTTCATCAACTGAGATACATTTGAAAATTTCCTCAGCTTCAGTGAACTTTCTTGCCCTGAGAAGCCTGCAAATGAGGGTTAAGTGGGCATGGAGGTCAATCTTGAATGAGATAAAGGACTGGTTTTTTAGGAGGAAGTTGAAGAAAAGCAAGCTTTTGGAGCATTTGAATTTGGGGTCTGAGAGAATGAGGTTGAGAGAGTTGGGTTTGAGCTTGGAGAGGAGGGATATGGTTGTGGTATTGAGGGGTTTTGAAGTTACAGTGTTTGGGGTTTTAGAAATTAATTCTATGAATTCTTGATAGGGTCTGGCGGGTGTTCTTTTGACAGTATTGAGGGTTCTGAGGACGTTCTGGAATGACATTTTTGATTTGGAGATTGAAGTCTCAGGATTAGGTTTATCGTTTTCGGTTGTTTTTTGTGTTGATTCTCAGCATCGGTTTGGGCCTCTGTTTGCCTGTCTGTGTGCTTTGTTTGGCCTTTGGGCTGATTTTTGCTGGTTTCTGCTTGTTTTGTGAGTTCTTCTGTGCACTTGACAATTTGGCTCAGTGACACTCATAGTTTGATCATTTTTAAATTCTCTGTGGATCAACTATAAATAAATAAATTGAAGTGTTGAGTTCGTAACGAGAACTTGTAGCTAAGTGGTTAAGAGCGTTTAGGCCCGAAATTTCATTTTTAAGTCCAAATTCCCCAATATTGCTTGAATAAAAAATAAAATAAAAAATTTGTTGGGTTCGCTGATCAAATAGTTGTGTGAATATTTGCATTCTTCTGGGCTTTATGCACATCTTCTTATTAGTCCTGCTTTTGGTGTGACCTTGTCTTTTGGCCTTTTAGGATTCAACTCATTCGGGGGATGTATTCATTAAGAAGAACGTATAAACACATATTTTGTAGTGGTTGGACAAAAATGCCTTTATTCATTTTTAGATTGTATAAGGAGTTTGTTTCCAGATTGTGCCAAGGAAGACCTTGCTTCTTGCTTCTGTATAGTGCCAAAACTTGGATCACTTCAATGCAATCTTCTACTTTTCAGTTTTTGTCAGTAATACTGTCCCTTCATCTAATTTCGTTCAATTTCATCGGCAAAATAAATGAAAGAGTAAGTTCTCTTAGACCCTCTCGAACTAGGACTGCAATCTAACTTAACCCCATGAACTAAAAAGTTAGCCAATTTAACATCTGAATTAATTAAAATGACCAATTTAACACCTACCGTTAAATTTTATCACATTTCATCCAAAAGTCCGTTAGAAATTGCACGTGAGACACATGTGCAACATAATTGGAGGGCAATATAGTCATTGTCTCAATATACCCATCATTTGTAGACAGTTAAGAAGGAGAAGATGAAGAGGAGGAAGTGGTTTGAAGATGCGATGGAACATACATGTTCAACCAAGTCCAAGTCGAGCACGTGGATTGGATCACAAAAGTGGAGATAGCAGCGGCCTTGTTCAATGGGGGTTTTACAGAGAGAGACACAATTGTTCAATTGGGGGTTTTCTGAATCCTCTCTCTCTCTCTCTCTCTCTCTCTCTCTATAAGTCCATATGCCCATGGAAAACGTTGAACTTGGAGTCAATAGTAACCAGTTCGCGATGTAGCTTCTATATCCCGTCGTCGTCGGCCTGGTGATGTGAGTAAACCAAAACGACGACTAATGGTGGTCCCGCAACCTCAAAGACGTTGACTTGGAGCCATATGACCATTTAAGACATGATTGTTGCTTGCTGTGTCGAAATAGCCCTCTGCTTTTGTTCCACGTGCACCGCACTTGACATTATTGACGGAATTGTCGATGAAATATTATAAAATCGGACTGCTGCTAAACGAACTTTAAAATTAATTGAGTACACCCTATGATCTAAGTACATTTGAATATTTTAATTAAAATGTAAAATTAACTAAGTACACCCTATTGAACTACCAAAAATACCCTTAGTACACCCTAATACTTGTAGCATTATTTTTGTCGTAGTGGAGATATTGATAAAGCATTTGTTGTTGAGAAACACATGTTGGAGAATGGTGTCTATCCAGAAGAGCCTGAAACTAGAGGCCCTCTTACGAGTGAGTATGGGAGTCGGTAAAGGTGACAAGGTGTATTATATGCTGCACAAACTAAGAACAAGTGTAAGGAGGGTCTCACCGTCTACTGCCAATTTAATTATGAACTGGTTTCATAGCAAAGAAGCTGCAAGAGTTGGAAAAATAAAATGGGATCCAAGATTGATAAGGGAGGCAATTGAGAATAGAGGTGGGGGCTGGCATGGGCAGGGTTGGTTGGGAAAAGGAAAATGGTCTGTGTTGCGTACAACTATTGGAGCTGATGGCTTGTGCAAATGCTGTGGGGAAAAATTGGCCACAATTGACCTTGATCCTGTAGAAACAGAAAACTTTGCTAAATCCGTTGCATCTATAGCTATAAAGAGATATAGCATCTATACTTGTAGGATTATTTTATGGTTGATTTTCAGCTTTATTTTTTTAATAGTGTTTATAAATCTTTGACTTTTCACATGGATTTATGTTTCTACTAAAACTGTTGACACTTTTCTTTCAATTCCAAGTTCTTGCAATCACTTTATATGGTTAGTAGGGTGTACTTATTAAAATTATATTTGTTTCACAATTCCATATATCCTTTTTGGTCATTTTATATTAGGGTAAATCAATAATTCAATATATACTTTTATAGTAGGGTGTACTCAGTTAATTTTAGGGTTCGTTTAACAGCACTCTAAAATCTAAAGGCATTGTTAAAATTGGCTGCTTTTTTAATTCAGGGTGTTAATTTCTACAATGGTCATAGTTGAGAGGTTAAAACGGCTGAAAATCCTAAATGAAAATCCCTAAGACTTCAAAGTTATGTCACCGCCACGGGACACTTTTTTTGCATATGTTGCTCATATAGTTGAACTGTGATGCAGTGTGAATATAGAGTAGAGTTACCTGGCTTGCCACATACACAATTCATCAAAGATAAAATTTACTTGAAATTCCTATCAACTAGCTTTTGATTTAGTTGTGTTTTTTATTTTAATGTTGAAAAATATCTCAAGTTCATATCTCACTTCTCAAATTGATAAAAACAAAATAACAATTCAAGGATGCCTTTCGAATTCAAATCTTGATGTGTCACTTATGTTACCTATCTAAAATAAAGTAAATAATGGGATTGGAGTTTCATAGCTAAAATTTAGATTCTCCAATGAGCTAGCCAAGAAGAAAAATGTAAAAAAAGATAAACCGCACTACATCTGTTAGGGATCAAAAGAAAGTGACCCAATTCCAACCCAAAATCAATTAGCAATGGAGATAATGACCCAGTTCCTTATAAACCTTTGCAATGTTTCTTAACTTTCCGATGTGGAAAAATACTTCACATCCTCACATCAGCCTCGAAACTTTGTCCCCCTCTTTTTGTTCACATTTGAACTATACAACTTGAATCCTGATTGTTGCAAGTATTGAAGTGTAAGTGTGTTTTTCAATAATTCCAACAAAGGAGATGGGATTTCTTTTAAAGCCTTGTTGAAGGGAAAAATTGGATCAAAATCTTTATATAAAAAAACAAGGGTCTATAGAGCAAATTTAGGATTTAAATGCAGGGCATTGAATATATATCAACAGGTTGATGCATGAATCATAAGAGCGTTTTCATTTATTTGCCATGGCAAAATATAAGGGCTGTTACTATTCACATGGGTGGCTAGCAATTTTTTTTGTTGGTTTTTCACTCATTGTCATGGCAATTCAAAGTCAACCACTATTTATAAGAGATATGAGGAGATGAATTTGTATAGAGTTTTGGTGCGGAAGTGAAAAATATGGCTAGGTATATATAAATTTTTTAAAAATCTGAAAATTTTGGTTTTTTTTGGCCTTTTTAAATTTTTTTGTTATTTAAATTAGTTGCTGATGTCACAATGACATCAGCATTAGCATTAGGTTAACTTGTCTAGGAAAATCTTGCTTTTGGGCTTGCCCGAATTAGTGGAGCCCAACTCTTACCCTGACAAAACTTGAGCGCTGAAAACCGAATGGGGGGGCCCTAAGGCCTCTTGCTCGAGCTGAGGCCTCAACTGCTCTGACAAGACACAAGCTTCTGTCTACGACAAATAATAGTTGGATTTTGTTGTCCAAGGAGATCTGTTGCATGCGACCCAAGATGGTCCTTCAGTTGCATACATGTCTGCCACATGTACACCTACGGGGTGGCATCACTTGGACCACCTTGTACGACCATGGAGACCCCTTGTGCTTTTGGGCTTTTCCACTATGCATGAACACCGCTACATAGTTTTAATGTTAACCCACAAATTAAGAAAAAAGGACTGACATTCTGAGATACTAAGCTTAGAAATTTGGATGATTTCGTATTCCGTTCAATGATCCGAAATGTATTACTCCATTTGATTGGAAGTATTTGAAAAAAAGATTGGATTCGACATGAATTATACATAATGCTAGGACCACTAATTATAGTACATATGAAATGAATTTCAAATGACTCATATTCAAATTTTGGCGCGCATACATGAATTGTAGTAAGCTAAACGAACAACTAACCTTAAATATCATCATCTAAATCTGTAGATTCGTAGATTTGGTTATTAATCCCAAATGTAATATATATATATAGAAGCTAAGACTGAATTACTACTACCAAATGAATATCAATTCATGTTTAAAAGATTAATGGATCTTCATTCTAACATCGTAAGGTGTCATGTTAACTTGCTTCTGATATGAACCTTGTATATCTAGGTTCTTTCATGGAATTAGAAATAGATTAAAGTAATTAATTAACATATTTAAACACAATTAAACAACATATTGGTTTATTTTTCCTGCTAATTCACCATCATAAGCCTATTGTGGCTGCAAAAATGTAGTCGCAGTTTGGTTATCAGTAGCATTAATTTAAAGGGCAGAGTTGACACTAATAAAAATGACGTTTATCAATTTCGGGTTTTTCTTTCGTCCACGGATTTCAAGTTAGGGTGGTCAATTGCAAAAGAAACATTAGATGAAAAGTCCATGTGCGATTTGCAATTTCCCTAAACACCATGTCGGTGTATAATATGAGAAAATAATTAGTAAAGGTTCAATTGGACAACATTGCTTAATTAGTAATTAACACCATTTTCATTCAGACCCTTTCCATTGCGGTCCTATTTTACACAGTCCCCTTCCATTGAGCGATCCCTCAAATAATTTTATTTGAGGGACACCCTTTAGGGTTCCCCATGAAATTTTTTTCAACGATCCAAACCATTAATAGAAGGAGACTATATATATAAAATTTCTATATATTTATTTCATGGTTCCATCGTCTATCATCATTGTTATTAGTATCATGATTGATAATCATGATCATCACAATAATACATAATTAGCTAGAATTACATTTGCTGTTTAGCAACATTTATGCAATAATATATACAACCCCACAGAGATTGACATAGTTTTGTTATGTACTCATAATTTCCCATGTGATAAAGTTTTCGTGTTCTTGCTCAACATGAGGGATGATGAGTGGCCTTGGCAAGAAATAAATTTATGCACAAAATAGGACCAACTTTATAATAAATTGATGTGGTCCTCATTGATTAATGATGCCCCCTTACATGTTATTTAAGATGGACCAA